CCCCCGCCGCCAAGGATGGGAGTGGGGGTCAGGAGTTCAACCAGGGGAGAGAGGGATTACTGGGGGGCCTCCGCAGGAAGTATCCGCTGCGGGGAGTCATTGGCGCCGGCAGGCCCCCTCCCCTGGGGCCGCTCCGCTGGCCGGGCTCCCAGTGGGGTTGGTTGCCACCTGGGTGTGCGGGCAGAGCCCCAAGCCGCGTTCCTCGGCCCTCTGCCGGCCGGGCGGGGGCGCGGCAGGCTGCCCCAGCTGTGTGTCCCGTAGCCCGCGAAGCCGGATGCCCCCGCCGCCGGTGGATCCCGCGTCCCTGCCGGGTGCTCGTGCTGCTGAACCCGCGAGGCGGCAAGGGCAAGGCCCTGCAGCTCTTCCGGAGCCGCGTGCAGCCCTTGCTGGTGGAGGCCGACGTGTCCTTCACGCTGATGCTCACCGGTGAGTGTCAGCCTGTCCCAGCAAGGGCGACCGGTGCGCCGGGAGGGCCCCGTGGGGCCTGACCGCCCATCTCCCTGCAGAACGCCGGAACCACGCGCGGGAGCTGGTGCGCCAGGAGGAGCTGGGCCACTGGGACGGGCTGGTGATCATGTCTGGGGACGGGCTGGTGCACGAGGTAGGTGGCCCGTTAGGGGGCAGAGTGGGCCGAGTCTTCTCCAGCTGAGGTGTCTGGTCCCCCAGGTGGTGAATGGCCTCATGGAGCGTCCCGACTGGCAGACAGCCATCCAGAAGCCCCTGTGTAGCCTCCCGGGTGGCTCTGCCAACGCGCTGGCCGCCTCGGTGAACTATTATTCAGGGTGAGTGCCTCCTCCGGCTCGCTGGACACCCCACCCCAGGGGGCTGCTTTCCCACAAGCTCCCTCATGTTTCTTCCAGAGGTTTTTGCTGGTGGGCTGTTTGGAAGTAGGTGGCCAGTCCTTTCTTCCATGGCCCTTCTGGGTGGGTTGAGCCGTGTGCCTTCTCAGAGACCACGGGCAACTTCCCCTGCCCTTCTCTGCGACTATCCGGGCCTTCTGGTGTCCCCAGTTGGCTGCCTCAGCCTGCTCCATTTGTCCCTGCGCCTGCCAGCAGCACTGGGACCAAATGCCTGTGCGGCAGGCCAGGAGGGTTTGGGGGGTTCACGCCATGCCATCTTTTCTTCTGCAGGTACGAGCAGGTGACCAACGAGGAGCTCCTGACCAACTGCACGCTACTGCTGTGCCGCCGGCTCCTGACACCCATGAACCTGCTCTCCCTGCACACGGCCTCAGGCCTGCGCCTCTTCTCTGTGCTCAGCCTGGCCTGGGGCTTCATTGCCGACGTGGACCTGGAGAGCGAGAAGTACCGGGCCCTGGGCGAGGTCCGGTTCACCCTGGGCACCTTCCTGCGTTTGGCCTCCCTGCGCACCTACCATGGCCGGCTGGCTTACCTCCCTCCCGGGGCCGCTGCTGCCAAGATGTCCGCTGCGCCCGTCCTGGACCAGAGCGGCCCTGTGAACACGCACCTTGTGCCTCTGGACCGGCCGGTGCCCGCCCACTGGACGGTGGTGCCCGAGCAGGACTTTGTGCTGGTACTGGTGCTGCTGCACACCCACCTGGGCAGTGACATGTTTGCGGCGCCCATGGGCCGCTGTGCGGCCGGCACCATGCACCTGTTCTACGTCCTGGCAGGTGTGTCCCGGGCCACGTTACTCCGTCTCTTCCTGGCCATGGAGAAAGGGAAGCACATGGAGTTTGACTGCCCCCACCTGGTGCACGTGCCCGTGGCCGCCTTCCGCCTGGAGCCCAGGGATAGGGCGGGTGTCTTCACCGTGGATGGGGAACTGATGGCCAGCGAGGCTGTGCAGGGCCAGGTGCACCCAGACTACTACTGGATGGTCAGTGGCTGCGTGGAGCCTGCGTCCAGGCAGGGGCCTCCACAGACGCCACCTTCACGAGAGCCCTTGTGACTCTGAGGGTCTCGCTGGGCCTTAGTCCCCTCCAGGCCAACTCTACAGCCGACCAGGGACTCTCCCAGAGGAAAGAGGAATGGGAGGGCCCGGAGTCCAGCTGGCTGGGCCCCAGAGAGAAATCTAATAAAGTGACATTCCCAGCTTGTTGGTCCTGTCCCGAGGGCTGGGCTGTAGAATGGAGGGTCAGCCATACCGAGGAGCTGGCCAGCCCCTGGGAAGGGCTGCTGTGGGGGTGGGCTCCCACGATGACCCACTAGAACCCTCGGATCTGGAAGAAGCTTTAGAGCGCTGTCAGCCGCCTTCTTCGACAAGTGGGGAAACTGAGGGGTGGAGCCAGTACTGTCTGCCCCAAGGCCACATGGGTAGCTAGGGTGGCGAGTCCAAAGGGTGGCCCCCCAATGAAGCAGAGGCCAATCTCCCAAGTAGGGCACAACTGTTCTGGCCTATCACCCAGGTGATCTCACCTGCCCTGGACAGGTAGGTGCCAGTCTCAATGGCACCCCTAGCAGCTAGAGGGAGAACAGGCCCAACTGGTCAACCCCAGGTCTTTGGTAGCCATAGCTGTTGGGTGGCAGGCCTGGCTCAGGATGGGCCTTTATGATAAGCCTGCCCACAGGCCTGCTGACCCAGGCCAGGAAATGCAGCCTGTGGGGGACTGGCCCCCTGGCCAGGGAACCCTTCCCCCTTGGGCGGGGCCCCTGAAGAAGCAGCACCAGAGCCCAGGCGACTGGCACAGGCAGGTTTAATGGCGGCACCTTTCCTTCTCGTACATTGTCACGAGCCAAACCAAAATGCAAAACAAAAATGCAAGTAGAGTTCGTCACACTGCACTTGGTACAGATGTCGTCAGCAGGCGCATTCACACGTCCACGTGGACAACACACTGGGAGCCTGGCCCCCCGTCCTCCGGTGTGCTTTCGGCCAGCCCCCAGGGACTCTGGGCACCCCACTGTCCAGGCACAGCACAGGACGGCCAGCGGGCAACAAGACACAGCATGCTTTGGCTTTTGTGGAGGGTGGGGGTGGGGTGGGGTCTTTTTCCCCTAATAAGTGTTAAGCTGTTTTGCTCTTGAGATTTTATTGGTTTTCAACCTTAAATATTACATACATACACCAAAAATTATTGAGCTGCATTGCGCTCTAAGCAACCTCTGAACCTGGAGCTTCACATTATCAAAAGCTTAGAAAACTTGTAAACCTCAGCCAGTCTCTGGCGGGCGGCCTGCAGGCCGGCTCTCTGGAGGGAGCAGGCAGGGCCTGGGAACCCAGGGCTGGGGGTGCCTCCTTCCCACCCGAGGGAGGGGCAAGGGACAACATCTGAGTGGGGGTGGGGGAGAGGGGAGGGAAATGGTTGGGTGGCCGTGGTGCTCGGCCTGGCTCTTGCAGATCAGCCAGCACCACTGAGTGCCGGGAGCCAGGTGGGAAGTGCAAAGCACCCACAGTGGTCTCTCTCCCATAAGCCACCCACCCCCACACCCCCCCGAAACCACCCAGCTCCTGGCTTCTCTCAGAGCATCACCCAAAGGGCCAGAGCGCAGCCTGGGAACTTGTAAACCAGGTGGGGTTGAGGAGGGAGGGCCGGGATTGCTGGAGCAGCCCACATTGATGCAAGGCGGCCGCTAGTTTCCTGCCACTGGGCTGGCCTCCACTTTTGGCCCACGATGAGCTGGCAAGGGAGGGGACACGTGCCTGGGTGCAGCAGGGTTCAGGCTTCCTGGGCAGCGGGGCGCTTGTTCAAAGGTTGCTTCAGACGAGTGACACAGCATCTCAAGACTCTCGTAGCGGTCTAGCGTCACACTCGCCGGCAGGGGGGGGTAGCTGGGGGGCATGGGCAGGGGAGTCCAGCAGGGGTGGGCGGCTACTTGGCCTCAGCGCTGGCGGGCATACCGGCCTCCAGCAGCGCCGCCCGGAACTGGGCCAGCACGCCGCGGACACTCTTGATGAAGCCCTTGGAGAGCGGGAAGAGGGGGAAACCAATGTCGGGGTAACCACTCTTCTCTGGCAGGAAGCTGCGGTAGCTCTTCCTCCGCTTCTTTGGTCTGACGCTGGGTGGCACGGCTGTGTCCGCCGCCCCTGCCACCCCCTCAGCAGTCTGCTCTGAGTGGTCCCTGCTGGCGGCCGCCGCGCCACCCTCTGAGTCTGAGCCCTGCGAGGCCTCGCCAGGGCCCAGCCCACCGTCCTCGGGTTCCTCCCGGCCAGAGTCTGAGAGCTCAGCCCCCGTGGGCGGCTCTGGGGAGCCGCTGTCCCGAGGGCCGCCGCCGGGCAGCGCCTGCCGCTCCAGCAGCGCGTGCGTCTGCAGCCAGGACTCGATCCGGCTAGCCAGCCGCCAGCCACCGGCGCTGAAGTGCTGCCGGATCTCCTGCTCGAAGACCTCGGGCGGCCGCCGCACCAGCTGTGTCATGGACTGCACGACGCGGATCAGCGCCATCTCGTTGTAGCAGCGGCTGTTCTCGTAGCCCTCCTGCAGGCCGCGGTCACTGTCGAAGCCCGCCTCGTTGTAGTACGGCTCGTTCACCAGGATCAGACCTGGGGTTTGGGCGGGCAGGTGGGCATCTCAGTGGGGAGGAGCCCCCCACAGCAGCCCCATGCCCCTGATCCCACAGCCTCCCTGGCCCTCCGTACCTTGGATGGAGATGAGAACTTGGAGCAGGCTGGATTTGCTTGTCCACCTCTCTGTCCCCTGAAAGGACACCCAGCTCCGTCACCCTGTCCTCCATAGCGGGAGGTCCTGCCTGCTCTCTCCCCAGCCCCGGCCCGGGCCCACCGCCGCTCTCACCTTTCCGATCCAGGTGCCTAGGAGGCTGACACACACTTTCCCATTATCATACAGGTTGGGGTTCAGGCGGCCACTGCACTGGGAGAGGTAGCAGAAGTGTGGGGGCACGGCTGGGTAGATGTTTGGGAGCTGGATGTCGAACAGGTAGAGGCCATCCTCGTAGGGGGTCCGGGTGGGCCCCTTGATCAGGGCAGAGAAGAGGTCCTGAGGGGGCGGGGGGAGGGAGCGGGTCACTGCAGGCTTGGTGGGTGGGTAGGCAAATAGGCATGGTATGGAGTCAGCCACCCTGATGCCAACCCACCGGGCACCTTCAAATTGGGTTGTTTGGGCAATTGTTTCCCTCAGAAATAAGCACTTAATATGGATTCCTCAGGCTGCCTCCCCTGAACTGCGACAGGGCACGCAACAGGGACAGCCAATCAGAGACAAGAGAACATTCATGACCAGCAAGGCTGCACCGGCTTTTGGGGGCCAAGGGGTCGCCTAGCAGCCAGCAGACAGACGGAGGACTGAAGTCGCGGGGAAGACGGTGGCCAGCGGTGTTGTCAGTGCCGGGCAACGTGTGGGGTCAAGGGCCACTAGTGTGGATGTGTGTGGTGACGGGGGGCTAGGCGCAAACTGAGTGAGGCAGGTGGGACTCGTGGCAGGCCCTTGTTCAAAGATCATCCAACTTAAAAAATTTTTTTTTCATCCACTTTGTATTACATCACTTACGCTGCTGACCCTGCCCGCGCCTGGATTTCCCTGCATCCTCTTGTGGCATCCCCTGCCCTTTCACCAAATAACACCTGCTGGGCTGCAGGGCAGGCCGACTGCTTCCTCTCCCACACTGCCCTCCCCATGGTGCGTTCTCTGGAGGAGCAGGGATGGACCCGGAACTGGCTTCCACCTCCTTTTCTCGTCGGTGGCTGCCTGTGTTGGCCTTTTGGCCAGCGTCTAGCTGGGGGCCAGCCCAGGGGAACAACTGAGGTGGCAAAGGGCTGGGCTGCCTGTTCCCTCATCAACATCGCCCGAGGCCGGGGCCCACCATGGAGGGAGTGATGGAAAGGTGACAGAGAGGGGGTCGCAGGGGTTGCCTCGGGGAATGAGCTAGGCAGGTATGAGCAGGGGTCTCGGGCACGACCCCATGGAGTGACAAACTCCACAGCAGGCTGGTGGTGACAGAGACTCAGAGTCAACAAGGCCTGGTTAGAGAGCCCCTCTTGCCGGCTAGTCAGGGCCCCAGGAGGGCAAGGGTCCTTGAGGGAGCCTACTTCTGCCTGCAGCCTTCTAACACTCCAAAGTTCAGGCTTGGGTAAGAACTGGGCCCTGGGGGGGAGGGGGAACGGCGGCTCTGAGGCGGACCCGCTGGAAGCTCATCACCAGGCCTGGCTGCTGCAGTGCTGCTGCTGCCGCTGGATGGGTTTCAACTGCCAACCTTCGGGCTCATGGTTGAGCATGTCAGACTCTGCCCCCCACAATGGCTCCCAAGACAATGCTCAACTTCTTTTGAAGAGGGGAGAACCAGGACGAGACAGGTTTGGGGCACTACCAACCCCCACCCCATGCCCTGAGGTCTACTCGCCATTCTGTCCTCGAAGGTCTTGACCATGATCCCGTCGGGCAAGGAGGTGGCCAGCAGGGCCATCTCCTTCCGCACTGTGCTGAAGAACTTCTTGGCTTCTGGAGGCTGGAACTCAATCTTCTTAAAAGAGTGATTTGCTAGAGGGCGGGGGAGATGGGTCAGTGGGTGCTAGGGGCCCTAGGCGCTCCACCTAGATATGTGGCTGCCACTCTCGGGGCAAGTGAGCATGCCCATGCACCTGCCCGTCTCCAGGGAGGTCCTGGTACCTGCACGGGCATAGTTCCAGGATATCCTGGGCATGGGGGGGCAGTGTGTGGCTGTACAGGGAGTTTCCTGGGGTGCGATGAGAGGAGTCTTATGGCTACATGGGGAGCACTCTTGGGGTACACTGGGGAGGGTCTAGTGGCTCACACGGAGCAACCTTGGGGTCACTGAGGCATCAGATAGCTGCATGGGAAGTGGTCCTGGGGTACATGGGGGTGTCGGGTGGCTCCCGGGGAGCGTGCCGGGGCGGACTCACAGGGGGCAAACTCCAGCACCGAGAAGACCTCGCCCTTGGCGCTGGTGAAGGTGACTCCGGGCTTGCCGCCGCACTGCTGGCAGAGCACGGGGGTCTCGCTGGGCCAGTCGGCCTTCACGGGGGACTGCGCCTCAGGCTTGTCCTCCTTGCGCTCGGCCTCGGGCAGCGCCTCCCGCTTCTCCTCCTCGGCGATGGCCACGGTGTCCAGCGTCTTCTTGAGGTTCTCCTGAAGCTTCTTGATGTCATCCAGGAACTTCTTCTCCCGCGTGGGCTTCTCGGGCTCCACGGTGGGCGAGGTGGGCGAGCCGGTCAGCAGCTGCTCCACCGTCATGTTCTTCAGGCTCTCCAGGATCTTGATGGCCTCCTTCAGCTCCCGGAAGCTCTTCGGGGGGCCGTCCTTGCCGGCCTTCTCCATCAGCCCCGCCATGGGGGCGGCCATGGCCACCGCGCCCTGGATGGCGGCCGTGGCGGCCTCCTCACTGATGACCACGCCCTTGTCCTCGTCGGGGACGGCTGGCGGGGCGGGGGCAGGGTTGGGGGGCTCCTCGATCTTGGGGTGCTCGTCCTCCACCAGCCCGTTGTCCGTCTCCCAGCTGTCGCTGTCGTCCTCCCACTCGTCCGAGGACGCCCCGCTGCTGCTGCCCTCCACCGAGTCGTAGTCCGACTCCTCCATCTCCGACTCGATGTTGTACAGGTGCTGCCGAGACACAGGGGCTCGGACCCAGCCCTGCTCCCACCCAGCTGCCTGGGGTCAGCACCTGCCAGCCCCACCCCGAGGGCGACCTTCATGGTGGCACCAAGGGCGGGGCTGGCCCAGGCCACCTCCTGTTCCCTTCCCTAAGGTGGCGCTGGGAAAGGAGAGCTGGTGGGTGGGCAGGCAGTGCTCAGACGAGGGGGCTGAGGAGGGCCCAGAGCCCCCTCGGTATCTGTGTCTGCTGGACAGAGGAGCCCCAACTCCCTGAGAGGTCACTCACGTTGTCTTAGAACCCTTCCCTCTGCCGTCAAGTTGGCTCAGACTCACAGTGAGCCTGTGTACGGCTCTGAGGCCCTGGGAATCTTTACAGGACAAAGAGCCTCATCGCTTGGTTCGCAGCCCAGCGCTTACCAAGTGCGCCACCAGGGCAAACTGGCAGGAGGGAGAACCTGCTGGGTCTCCTGGGGTGTGAGTGGCAGCTGCCCTCCCTCTCAGAGGACACACACTCTACCTCAGGAAGGTCCGAGAACAGGGCGGGAGCGTAGGCCAGGCAGCTGGCCGTGGCTGGGCTCTGGGCAGAGGCTCACCTGGGGCAGGATGATGGTCTTGGAGTTGTCAGCCCACACCACCTCCACCTTGCTGCTTACATCCACGCGGGCCACCTGGCCCACTGATGGCTGTGGGGCAAACAGGACAGTCAGGTGTGTGGCTCTCCAGGTGAGGCCGGGGACGTGGTTGTCAACTGTCAGCGGGTGCCAGCCTGAAGCTGGGAGCAGTGAGGGTCAGGGCCAAGCTACATGTATGAGCCCTCCCCACACTGACACCCCTTCAGTTGACTTCTGCTGAGCCTGGGCCCCTCGAGGCCACTTCACATCTGCAGCCTTGTTGCTGCCAGGATGGGGGTTCCCGCCCCACGTGGGCTTTCTTCCTCACTTCCTGATACAGTTCAGTTTCAACGGCCAACTGAAGGGTGACCAAAGCAGATCACCAAAGAGACTGACTGTGTCACCACATGGCTGCCGAGTTACCTTCAAATGACATCATAACCACTGTCGTGTCATGCCGCTACACAACCTCCAAATGACATCGTTACACAAGTGCTAAACCACCGAGAGCTCGGCCCAGGCCACTTTCCTTGCCTGTCAGAGCTGCTCACCACCAGGCACGTGCTGCTAGAGCCACCGTCTCAATTCTGCCACGAGGGGAGCTGTCGGGACACTGCCCACGTGTCCACGACACCTCCCTGATATGCCACTGTGGGGACTGAACCTACCCATGTGCGGTGCTGGTCTCCTGGGCAGTGTTTCCGGTAGGGCTGGGAGCCCCCCGGTGGCTCCCTCAGGAACTGTAGCTGCAGCGCAGCCTGGCGCACAGCCCGGCCAGGCGGGTGGATGGTGCAGTACCTCGTCCTCCTTGGGAGGGGCCCCATCCTCAGTGTTGCCGATGCGGATGACGATATCTGTTGTGCGGAACCGGAAGTCAGGGTGGTCGGCGATGTCATACACGCTCACGTCCTCCTCTTCTCCAATCAGCTGTGACACAGGGTGGCTGGCTGTTAGCGAGGGGCCCAGCTGTCCACCCTGTTCTCCCATCCCCCATGGGGCCACG